CCTGGCCCCACACAGCCTCAGCGCCGAAGGTCTCCCAGGCGCGAAGGGGGCAGAAAGCACCAGGGGGGGAGTCTGGCAGGGGCAGGCTCCCCGGGGGGGGGGGCGGGGGGGGGCGGGGCCGAGCCGGCGGCCGGAGGCGCGGCACCGCCGGCGGGGCCGGTCCCGGGCGGGAGCTGGGTGGGAATCGGGCCCGGAGGCTGCTCCTGACCTTTTATTTTTTGCTTAAAAAGGCAGATGTGAGATCAGAGCGCACAGGATGAGAAATTCTGGGAAAACCCTTTCAAAGATGTTCAAAGAATGTCTTTCAAAGAAAAGAATAGCAAAGAATATCTTTGGCAAAATATTTCAAAGGCGGTTGCGCGTTCTGCTCCTTGCTTTCTAAAGCAGAGCGCAGCCAGCCAACAATGGCAACGCAAAAAGTCCCCACCGATCCACGTAGGTTGTAGGGTCTGGTCATCATACTATCTATAGTGGTGGTATGTATAATATTTTTTTTCCTGCCTACCAATTGAGGAATTTCTCACTGCAAACGGGATTTTTCTTTTTTGTGAGAAAGGTCGAGGGCGCTTAGAGTAACGTTTTAAACGCTGATAGTTTTAGATACTGGTATTTTTTCGTTGGGGGGGTAGAAAAGCTCATCTGAATCATACTTGTCTTCTTTATTATTATTTTTCCTTAATAATGCCTGAGGTGGAAAGACGTAGTACAGTGTTTTTCTCTAACCTGAAATTCGCTTGTGTATTTTGCAGGATTCCTATAGAAAGCAGGTTGTTATCGATGGAGAGACGTGCTTGTTAGACATCCTGGACACTGCGGGACAGGAGGAGTACAGCGCCATGCGTGACCAGTACATGCGGACTGGGGAAGGATTCCTCTGTGTGTTTGCCATTAACAACAGTAAATCGTTTGCTGATATTAACCTTTACAGGTACGATCTGGGTCTTTACCGCAGGGAGGGAAGACTGGAAAAGGCATCAGACCTGTTTGCTGTTAGACCCAGTGAAGACTAAATAATAGAGAAATGTTCAATCTCCCGCTTCTTTCAGAAAGTTTTTCAAGGTTATCTGTGTTCTGCGTCTGCACGCTATTCGTCAGTTGAGAGTGGGGCAGTTATCTGGGTTGTTGTGTTGATCAAATGATATTTAGAGCATACGGAACACGGTCGCTAAGAAAATGGGTGAGAAGGCAAACACGCATCAGAGCGGAGTTGTACGTGGACCAGAAGATGGAGCCTAGGAAGTCTGCAGACGTACCGCTGTGGGTTAGAACCCCTGAGGTCCTGTCCAGCTTTAATATATATTTTTGTAGCGCAAGGTTGCTCGACTACTGAACTGAACCAGCTTTTATATTTAGACAATAGATCCTAACTTGTTTTCATTTGTCTTTTTAAAGAGAGCAGATCAAGAGAGTGAAAGATTCAGATGATGTGCCAATGGTGCTAGTTGGGAATAAGTGTGATTTGCCCACAAGAACAGTAGACACAAAACAGGCTCAAGAATTAGCAAAAAGCTATGGAATCCCCTTCATAGAGACGTCTGCTAAAACAAGACAGGTAAGATGCTTCCATTCTTGGGCTGACTTCTTCCTGTATGCTAAATGCAGAATGGTCTAACATTTTCCCCTGTACTTTTTTTCTTATCTACAGGAGTAAGCATTTTTTAATCCATTTGCAATTTTTTGCTTTTGATTTCCCCACTCACTCTTAGCTTGAGAGAGTTCTGTTTTTATCGCTGGGCTAGCTCAGTACACAAATCACTTCAGACTTGTATTGATTTTCTTTCAAGCGGGTCATGTTCGTAAGACGAGAGCTTCATCTGCTCTTGCTGCGAAGTGGTCAGACTGTGCGGTTACTCATCCCAGACCTGTTCGGTTTTCTTGGCTTCTTAATGAAGGCCAATTATAAGATTATGTTTACAGAAAGAATTCCCCAGGCTGGAGTAACGGACTTCTTCGGAGTTGCGTTGAGTATGTGGCTCTGTCCGGTCCGCCTGTGTTCTACCTCCATCAGTGTGGAATGAAGCAGAAAAGGTGCAGTTATTAAGCAGTAGCCAGAAAATCCTAAGGATTCTAAAACAGAGGTGATTAGCCAAGACGTAGCGTGTTTCCTGCATGGGACCTCTCTACAGTTACAATTTGCCTTGTTTCTTTTAATGGCCGTTAGCCTGGATGTTTGCCTCAGAGGAAGAGTTAAGAGTGTAAGTGGAGAGTTTTGGACACGCGTGCTAGTTTCTTCCTCTTATAAGCTATGGGATAAGTTGGCTGCTACTCTTCTGTAGAAGTATGTCTTTCAAATATGTTAAGGGATCCTGTGATGGAAAGAACAGTGATCTCAAAAGCTTCAGGAAAGAAAATACTTTACCTGGATCATTTGCATTCAGGGTGTGGAAGATGCTTTTTACACACTGGTGAGAGAGATCCGGCAGTACCGGATGAAAAAGCTCAACAGCAATGAAGATGGGAATCAAGGCTGTATGGGATTGTCTTGCATTGTGATGTGATAAGGTGAGCTGTAATTTAAGTTTTTCATTGGCTTCTTGTCTGTATGTCTTTCAGTCATTGATAAGCACGGCTTAGAAACACTCGCTCCTGTAGGTGGGTTTTTTTCCCTATTTCACAGCCCATCGATACCCAGAGATTTAGATCCTACAATTAATTACTTCTCCAAAATTTTTAGGTTCCTCCCCCTGTAGATAGTGAAGCTTAAGAAAAGGAAATTCTATTCACAGCAACCTTTTGGCTGTAGCCTGTGGATTTCCACTTTTCCACTGAACTGATAATTGCGTGATTTTCTGTATCATTCTTGTCAGAGTCTCCTTCCTTTGGGAAACCATTTTGACTATTTGGAGAATGTGTAATTTCTGTCTTGTACGCTAGAAAGAGGAGCGTGCGCAATTCTGCAGTTGCCATTTGCTGCTGATTGATTGACTTCTGTGCAGCTCATCTTGAGCTGTGTTCCTCTGGAATACACACTGTTCGAAGATTAACCAAATAAAATAATGCGAGTAATGAAATCTATGAGTTCCCCAGCTGAGTGAAATTCTTTTCAACAGTTACCTAAAAGATGTTGCTCATCACTGTACAAACAGGTAGACCAGTTCAGGACTTGTACTACACTGTTGCACACTGCACATCCATCGCAAAGTTGGACAGCAGCTAATTAGAGATCCCTTTCTGTTCCAGATGCCAAGAATTCGTGGTTCAGATGTAGCTGCTGGACGAGTCTCGATGCTACTGTATTGCGTCTCATGCTGATGCCCTGCAGTATTTTGGTGCCAGTGACCAGAATCTTGGTACCAGTTAATTAGCACAAGGTCCTTTTCTGTGCTCCATCTGAAGAGAACATCTATGGCATCTACCTCCTTGCTCAGCTAACGGAGCAGTCGCATCTCTTGATGTGCTGGGATTCTTTTCTCACTGTGTTATCTGGGTTTGTTCAAGAAGAAAACCGGTCACAAGAAAAGCGAACTATAGAGACTAAATGCTGTGAAAAAGATGACACTTTACCTCTAGAGTAAAAGCTAGAAGTGATGTTTGTCCCCTTTCTATTGGATTCTGATTTGCAGTGCTGTCAGAGGAATGGCACTAATCGTTGCTTGGCAGGTAATGTCAGAAATGGTTTCGCTGCCATGAATGCTCCTGTCACGTATCGGATTGGTATCTGCTCTCTGTGCACCCGTGCAGCGTATTTGCAACACCTCCTTTGTGCCAGGAGTACCACTTAACTGATCCTTCATTTTCTGTAATAAAAAGGAGATCACTTCCCTAACTTAAGTGCCTGTTTGCAAGAAGATTTGAAGTTGTCCCCTGTTCCCTTGGGTTGAGGAAAACCCCAAGGACTGGAATTTCTCGGGAGCTCGTTGTCTTAAGCAGGCAAGTCTTGTGTGGGTGCTCTCTTTGCCTGACAGGATACTAAAACAGGAATTTGTAGGCTGGAAGATCCAGCCGGCACTTGTAAGACTCTTGAACTAGGGAAGGGGACATACTGCATCTGTTTTTTACTTTCTTTGTAGGTGGAACTGTTTATATTCTATATTGTTTTTCTGCAGCATTCAGATCTCTTCCAAGTTGGACCAAATCAGTCAGCTGTTCATTTTTAACATTAACTGCCAACATTTATGGGCAGCTTCTCAATAGTTAATCTAGTAACTGGAGGTTAGTTAGTTTGGACAGCTGTTATTCAGCTCTGTCTGTAACTTGCAAATGATTTTATTCTGAATTATTTTCTTACCACCACACCGTAAACGTAGTCTCTTCAAAATGTCTCTCTGTAAAATGCAGTTGGAGAGTCTCCTTGTCAGGGAAGGAGTGTGGGATTTCAGGTTGACTGGTGCAGTGGTTGTCACGGACTTCGTGTGTCCAGACGGAGGGGAGAAGGCAATGAGCTATAACAGAAAACTGAGCTAGCTTCTGATTGCAGCATCTTGCAAAATGAGGAAGGAAGTGAGCTCAGCGATGACTACGCAGAAGGTGCGTGATGTACTGATGGGAATTCTGGGCTTGTTCTGACAGCCTCGAAGTACGAGAGAATTACTGCGTTAGCTGTGCGAGTTCTTCCTCGCACAGGTGACAAAACATTGTCACCTCACATAATGAGTACAAGTGTGGTCACTGTTGCAAAACCTACCGGAGCTCCTTGGAATACTGTGTCCTTCCCTAGTTCTTGTGCTGCTGGTGCTGGATTCTGTTCTGTGTGGTCAGACAGTGTATCCCACAGCAAAGCTGGATTCCCAGTTACTGTCTGGTGGAAGAGTAATGAGCCTTCAGCCAACAGAGGGAGCGTTCAGGCAGCCAGCCCAACCAGCGTGAGCAGAGAAATTGCAAGGGGCTTAAGTTCAGTTTGTTGGTGTCAGATTCATACATCTTAATTTGAAGTTCTCAATTTCAAATGGAAATTAGAAATCAGTAAATACTGAGAGAATAAATTGTTCCTTTTAATATTGCTTCCTTCACTACCTACATTCTTAATTCTCTTCTTGGAATGAAGAGGATCAATCTGCATCACGTTTTCTTTATCCATGATAATCCTTTATAAGTACTTTTTGCAATTTATTTTACCCTTGACTGATGTGACACTGATAAGAATTAAAAATCCAATATTTTTACATAAAACATTATTTTCCAGCAACATACACAGTGGTGGGCAGCATTACAGATAGCATTGGCTGTGACTCGAGTTGAGTTCATTTGAAGATGGTCTCATGCCTGCAAGTTAAATGTGACAGAATTACCATCACTGCAAGCTGTCATGTCTGTAATCGGCAAGCAATGTTTTTCTTTTATGTAGTGCAAGAAAAGAAGTTATTTGTGAAAGCGTTCTTTGAGCACCATGGCAGGAGATGACTGTCTGCTTCTAAAGAGATGTGTGACACACTGTTGTCCACTTAATAAAATTACACATGGAAATGATAGCTTTTGGGATACACATCTGGTCACATAGACTCAGCGTTTTGGGAAGCCAGCAGTGTGGAGTTGGCAATATGTTTGAATGGTGAGATCCTGTCATCTGGGTCCGTGTATGTTTTTTGATTATTTGGGAAACTTGGGAGTTTCTTTCCTGGCAAGCAGCATTGCAGAGTTCAGAGCATGGCTGCCCGTGGCCATGGGAGACCTTTTGCAGCTGGCATTTGATGTTTGAAGGTTGTATGGTCAAGTATGGAAAATTATTTCTTCTGGGTGGAGGTTCATCATAGTAATTCTCTGCACTGCATGGCGTGTTCTAGTTGTCATTAAAAATGTACTAGCTGTAATTCCAAAAGTTGTGAATTCCAGAATTGTATGGGAGCTGGCAAATGGATCTACTTTCTCTTCGGTGTTCCCTTTCTCTTGGGCTGTATCAGATCTTACAAGGGAAGAAGACCTGGTAAGAATAGGTTGGTATGTATTTCACCTTTGGAACCTCAGAGGAGGATGCATCAGCTTTTCGGATGCTGCAGAGCTGACCTGCACAAGTGGTACTCCCATCTGCGCTATTTTAGGTTCAAATCTAGCGAGCGCTACAAAATCAGGGTGTTGCGCTAGTCCTGAGTATGAATTAAATGGTTGGACTTTGTTTCCAGCTATCTATTTAAGAGAACCCTGATGTTGGGGTCAACTGAGAGAGAATTGTGGAAGGACAAAACCCCAGGAATTTTTAGGACAATTATTTACAAGATAAGCACAGAAGTTTTTGCACAAGACGGGTCCTTGGAAAAGGTGATTTTGTAGGTTTAGTCTGAATGTTGTTATTTAGAACTAACAGCACAACACTGTCTTAGTGCCAAGCTAACTTTACTATCCTGACTGGGAAGAACAGGCATAAACAACTTTGAGGTAAAATATTAAAAAAGGGTAAAGCTCTTGTTCAAAAATTGCAAGTGCCAATAACTGAAAGAAATGTTTCTGTTATTATGGACTGAGAAGAACTGTTGAACGAGATGGTATAACTCGGTGGCTTGTTACTGGTAGTGTCCCCACTCCATGGTCTTGTTCAAACAACAGTGCTCAAATTTTGTTCTTACTGTCATCGGTAGGACTTTGGATAGTAACCGTGATGCTTAAGCCATCATAATTTTTAGTACAGTTCAATGACTTAGAATTGGATTTCAAGCAACTTCAGGCCTATGGGGGGAAGGAGAGTAGTGGAAGTTTGAATTATATTCTCATCCTCTGTGTGGTCTTCCTTTATTCCCCAAGCCTTGACTGACTGTTTCTGTATAACCTATAACCTCCAGGATGGTAGGGAACTGTTGGGATCTGGACTTTTTATCCAAGGGCTAATTTGTTGTTACTTTGTATAATTATTTGCTTTCAATAATGCATCTCTCTTGGTTTGAATTGAAGTAAATTATTTTGCTTCTTAAATAACTTTTTTAAAGAATAAACTTTGAATTCTTTGGTGGTTTCTTTTGTGGTAGTGATCTGGGCATGGGATCCACAACTGGCTTACAGAAAGCTTGTAACAATGCTATCTGCTTTCTCTGCGGGATCTGGATGTACTCCAATTGTCACTTCTGTAATGTGGCATGAACGGCTGTATCATGTACGTTCACTGTAGCACGAGTAAGCAGTGAGAGTGGCTTTGAGAGGTACCATAGGCTTGTTCCAGGGTCCAGGTTTAATGACTTCACCAGTCTGTGCTGTGTCACGCATCTTGCGTTAGTGTTGAGTCTCTACATTGGCACTGGGGTCCCTCATAATATTTTTGCTGACTCTGCCCTTGGAAAGGATGCTTGCTAAGTCAAAGAAAGGGGGAGGGGAAATTTCTTTACTTGGTGTTCCAAGAGTGAAATTAGCTATAAAGTTATTGCTGTGTCCAAATCATTCTCTCTCTTAAGCTTTTAAGTTGCTTAATTCAGTCTTCTAAAATACTTCCCTGTTGGCTTTCCTCCTGCAATAAGGCAGCTTGTGTTGCACCACACAGTAAGTGTGCTTTAGGCTTGTTTCTCCTAAGACATTGTGTCAGGCCTCTGGAACCCAGAGTCCAATCTGTTTTCTGTGCAAGAACAGACTCCCGGTAACAGGGGTATAAAACTCCTTGCACTATGTAGCTGCAGTCGTCGCTGCCTGTTCCAAAAAGAGAGATTCAGAATATGAGCACAGGTGAGTGCTTAAAAGCAAGGGTTTTCTTGGCCTATTAGGAAAGCTTTCCTCCAACGTGGTTGTTATCTGTAACAATCTGTTCCTAGAAACTAGTTCACGCTTTAAGGACTTACTGACTTTTGTTGCATACTGGAACTGAGGCTGATTTAAACAGCCCTAGAGGAATCGTGGAGGGAATGACTAAGAGCAATGTGGGGAGAGAAGAACTTGCTGAAGCTCTTCTTCATGCAAGGTGCTGTTGATCAAAGGCACAGCACATCAAGGAGCGCCCTTGATGAGTTTCCACATTACCTCCTCTCTGTTAATACTTTTCTTCTTCAGGAATTGAAACCATTTTGTAGCAAAACTTGCCCCTGGGCTTCTATTTGGACAGCTACCCCTGTGATGTGGCTGCTCTGCTAGGTGAATTAGAGGAAGATCCTGCTAAATACCCCGAACTGCCAGATTTCTGGCGTGTTTGGCCATTTTCCTTTGACTACACCTAGGAGGAATGAAGGCGGCTCAGAGAGGAGAGTGTGGGGTTTTAGAGCCACTCTGAAGCCTCTGGGTGTGAATCACTCACTTTCCAGCTGAAAGAGAGCGGGAAGATGGCTGTTTGCATTCAGTGCTTCAGTTTAAAGAGGCCATAGATCTAACTTTAGCACAGCATACCCAAGCTTTACTCATATTTCTACCATGAACCCAACTAAGTTGACCCTGTGATTTAAAAAGCTAGGGGATCAAGAGACCTCTTGAGGAAGATGACCTCTGCACCCTAAAGGTTATTTTTGGTTTCAGATGTGAATCCCAAGGTCTTGATATATCCAGAAAGGTTAGGGGCAGATATAGTCCCTGTGGGAGAGCAAACAAGCAGGAGCCAGTTTTTATTGACCTTAAATGAAATAGTTAAACAATAATGTGGTGTGGGGACTCACAAACTGGGGAATGAGTAAGAACAAGAGTAGTTGAGAAACTGAAGACTGCTATCAGCATGAGAGAGGAGACCGGGTATCAGAGATCAAGAC